CAAAGCAAACAAGATTTGTTTTGTTAAGTTTTAAAGTAGAATTCATCATTTTTGCCATATTAATTATATTTTATTGCAGAGTGAATAGGTTTTGTTACTATTTTATTTATTTTTTGGCCAAAATTGTACTTTATTTTATGAATGCACATGTGGCCTCGTTGAAACATTTGTCGGCCTAAAATAAGGTAGTATCCCTTATTTACAATTATGAAAAGCACAAAGTCATAAAATATCCATTAAAAGTAACTGCCTAATCCTACTAGGAATATCTCTATACAACTCCTAAGAGCCAACTTGGCCAAACCATCCGCCACTTGATTCGCTCTCGATAAATGTGATCTACGCGCCTATCCGCCGAGAGGAGCTTACAAATTCAATTGATCACGTTCTGAAGTTCCCATGCAACTCCTATGATTTTGTTTACCACAAGTGTTTGTTATTAGACACAAGGAATCAAAGTGAATTTAACAAGTATAATTGGTAAAACACCGGCACCGTGTATATATCAACTAATTGCCTGATCCCGGATTTTTTTACGTAAATTATATTAGGTGAATTGCTTAAATTGTCTTATTGTATTTACATGAATAACTTAAGTGTTTTCGATACCTATTATGTCCTAGATTTAATGAGTAAATTGTAATCTAAGTAGTTCTGGTCTAGATAAGTTCGTTTCACGATTTATGTTTGATTATGTGACGCATGTGAATTTTATGAAAATTAATGATGTGTCTTATAAGAGTCTTTAAGTGCGTTGCACATATCTAAATAATTTGTTCACTTTATTTCCATTTGTTTGATCTTAATTAATGACTTATGTAAAATTATTACATGTTTTACACTAAATATTTATAGGTGAATTTACTTTGTCTCATATTTTATAATTTATGAAATCTTAATTAATATTACTACATAATAATTTTCTAAGAATAAATATATATATATATATATATATATATATATATATATATATATATATATATATATATATATATATATATATATATATATATATATATATATATATATATATATATATATATATATATATATATATATATATATATATATATATTACATTAGTGCATAAACACACACACACACACACACACACACACACACACACACACACACACACACATATATAGACACACACAAACACATAATACTATTGTAACGATTACAGATGTACGGGGTCGGGTGGTTTCCTGGTCCTCGGCCGATACTTCTGGATTCAAGGGTAAGAAAAGGGAAACACCCTTTGCCGCTCAAATGGCAGCAACAAATGCTATTCGTACAATCGTAGATCAAGGTATGCAACGAGTAGAAGTCATGATAAAAGGTTTCGGTCTCGGAAGAGACGCAACATTACGAGCTATCCGCTTCCTAATATAGGACCCGATCCCAGAAAGACTAAAAGAAAATCATGTATTGGTCCAGGTAAATCCATTTAATTTTATAGAAAAAAATCTAAATATTTCATGCCTTTGTTGACCTCACCCGAACAAAAAAATAAGTTATCTTATTTTTTAGGATAATTTTTAATTGAATAAAACTTAAATGGAGGTAGCTTGGATTGATGTAGATATAGTTATTCGCCTATCGAAAGTAGAGGTTGAAACTTTCTATTTTTTATAAATTTATTATTCGAATATAAATCAATTTTCAATCAAAATGAACTTACAATTTTCCCCCACCAACCATTTTTTTAATTCACCAAATAAAAACCCCCTTCCTTTTTTTAGATCCGAAAAAGCTATTTGAAATTTGTAAATGTTTTATGAATCAAGGGTATTATACATTTTTTATTTGAGGTGAATTCGAAGAAATTGTTCGAATAGTGTAATCGTCAATTATTGACATTGGTAACCGACCTAAAGCAATTTGATTTCAATTCGTGACGATCATAAGTAGAAAGTTCATATTCTTCAGTCATTGATAAACAATTTGTTGGACAATAATCAACACAATTACCACAACATATTTTAAAGTGAGTAAACATAATTCCATACTCGATCTCATAGATACATACAAAATTCTGCGGAAAGCCGTATTCGATGAAAGTCGTATGTACGGCTTGGAGGGAGATCTTTCATATCTTTCGAGATCCACCCTACAATATGGGGTAAAAAACCCAAAATAAGTGATTTTAGCCCTTATAAAAATAAAACTGATTCTTAAACTCCTTTCACTCTCATGTCACGTCGAGGTACTGCAGAAGAAAAAACATCAAAATCCGATCCAATTTATCGTAATTGATTAGTTAACATGTTGGTTAACTGTATTCTGAAACACGGAAAAAAAATCATTGGCTTATCAAATTATCTATCGAGCCATGAAAATAATTCAACAAAAGACAGAAACAAATCCACTATCTGTTTTACATCAAGCAATACATCGAGTAACTCCCGATCTAGGAGTAAAAGCAAGACGTGTAGGTGGATCGACTCATCAAGTTCCCATTGAAATAGGATCCACACAAGGAAAAGCACTTGCCATTCGTTGGTTATTAGCGGCATCCCGAAAACGCCCGGGTCGAAATATGACTTTCAAATTAAGTTCTGAATTAGTGGATGTTGCCAAAGGGAGTGGCGATCCCATACACAAAAAAGGAAGAGACTCATAAAATGGCAGAGGAAAATAGAGCTTTTACACATTTTCGTTAATCCATGAACATGATTTATACATCTCGATCGGAAAAGAATCAAGAGAAAAAAAAAGAATCGGAATTGATCGATAGATTTCTCGAAACAAGTCACTTCTTTTTTTGTCCAAGTTGCTTTTCTTTTTATCTAACTCACTTCCTTTTTTCTGTGTGAGTTTCGGGAATATCCACATTCATAGGTCCGAGATCTACATCTATAAATTAAAAGGTCCGAATTATCAACTCTGCTATCAGTTGTTAGAATCAATAGGTCTTCAAATTATTCATTTGAAAAAATGGAAACCCTTCTTATTGGATGATCATGATACTTCCCGAAAATCGAAATTCTTGATCAACGGAGAAACACCCTTTTTGTTCAATAAGATACCAAAGTGAACCCTTTTTTTTATAATTGTTTTTTATTTTATTTTTTCTTAAAAAAATATTTTATTTAATATTACTGTCTTGGCTGCTTAATTACTGTCTCAAATAGTTATTTAACTATCGGAGACAATAATTTAACTGTTAATTGACTCTTTTTTTTCTTTAAAAGAATATTTTAATTATTATTATTATTGTCTTGGCTGCTGAATTACTATCTCCAACACTTATTTAACTATCAGAGACAACAATTTAATTGTTAATTGACTTTTTTTTTTCGTTAAAAACATATTTTAATCAGTACTACTGTCTTGGCTGCTAAATTACTGTCTCCAACAGTTATTTAACTAACGGGGACAATAATTTAACTGTTAATTAACTTTTTTTTTTGTTTTTTTTTTCTTAAAAAAAATTATTTTTAATTAATATTACTGTCTTAACTGCTAAATTACTGTCTCCAACAGTAATTTAACTGTATGAGATAGCAATATTACTGTATTAATTAATTTTATCGTCTTGGCCTGCATTTTTGCTGTCTTCGACTATAATATTACCGAATCGGACCATAATATTATTGTCTCCGATCGTAATATTATTGTCTCATGCAATCATATTACTGTTTGGCACAGTAATATTACTACTTGGTAAAATAATATTCATAATATTACTGTCTGAGACAGTACGTGATTTAGCAGCCAAGACAGTAATATTAATTAAAATATTTTTTTTAAGAAAAAGAAAAATTTAAAAAAAAAATCAACGCCGAAGGCCAGCGGTTGGCTGGCGGAAAAAAAAATTCAGAAAAAAAAAGTTAAAAAAAAAGCCAACGCTGGAATCTTTCCAGAATTTTTTTTTTTCAGAAATTTTCTTTTTTTATTAAAAAAAATATTTTTTTGCAAAAAAAATATTAAAATGGGCTTAATGTGATATATTTGTTTAAAAATATGTTATGGAGGGTATTTAGACTAAAGATATGGGGATGGATTTATTTGAAGACTGTTTTTTTGTTGACCAATGTGCATTTAAGTCCATTGCCATGTCCCTTTTTGCCATTTGCCCTTGTTTTTATTATTCTTCCTCGACAAACCATAGCCCACGTACTCAAGTTGTACTAACTAAACTGAAATCTAATGCATCTAGCAAAATCTATATTTATCAAATCACCATTAAGTATCATACACACCAATGCTTACACACAACACACTTTGCACGTTGAGCAAACACATAAATATATCATACAACCTCGACAGGTCATCTACAATAACATTTATCATCCAGATTATGCTCATGAAGTGAAAACACTTTTTCTCCACTTATTAAATGAGATTCTTACCGTTATTTTCATTAAAACACCCTTAAATAAAATCCAAAAACACTTTATTGGTATTGAGTTAAAGATTCATGATTTAACAAATCTTATAATCAATACATTTTTTTCCTGCAATAATTTGAAATCTTCAATTTTTTAACCAAGAAAAACATAGATTCACATATTATGAACATATAATAGACATGCATGAAAGAAACATTAAAGGTTAGCACATAATTTCAAATTTCACGCAAAATGCTCTTATTTTCAAAATGCATAAAAATATTTTAAATTATTTTGGAAAATCCTTCTCATAATATGATACTATTTAATTGCATAAAGAAATCTATAATTTCTTACCTAAAGATGAAAGAGGAAAACGATTCAGCCAAAAGAAAACCTTCAAAAGAAATAAGGACTTATGTGGAATAAAAGAATGGAAATGGAAGCTATTTTCTTCAATGAAATGTTACCTCTTTAAGAGGTATCTCTACATCCAAACTAACTAAGTGAATGGAAAAATAACTAAATTGATCATGCTAATTACTTAGATCACCTGGGGTAGTATAGAAAACGAGCTGGGAGAGCAAAGCGGATCAGTAGCTTAACAACTTAATGATCATGAGGTCCATGCGAAATGAACACACGTGAACTAAGCCGGGGGTTGATCCGTCGGAAACCCCTCCGACGCTCAAGTCAGATGTATGGATCGTGGAGATAGTAGAGAGAATAAACACTCTAGATTGTTGGTTAGTAATAGAACCTATCTTAACAAATGAGTAAAACATCTATTTATATGTCGTTGATTGGGTTGACTTACTTTATTGGCCCCAAGTCTTACTTTGAAAATGCTTGGGCTTTCGTGTAGTGGACCTAATTATTAGATAAATTGGGGGCCCATTGGGCCGGCCCAATTAGGTATATATATCATTAAGCTCCCCAACTCTCGAGTCGGGGTGGGAGACTTGTCGAATAGGTTCCAGATCGTGTCGAGAGTTAAATTTGACGTGGTTAAAATAGTTTTCGTTGGCGTTGAATTGATCTCCTTAATTAAATAAGGGATAATCGTATTTATTTGGCAGCGAGGTATATATGTAAGGGTTTTAAATAATATACCAGGGCCAGATAAATAGACTCCTTTTGCGGTGGAATGAATTAAACTTCAACCTCCTGCGTAATAAATATGGGTAAGTATTTTTAACTTGTGGTCTTCTGCTCTGCTCTTGCTTCTCTAAAAAAAAATTGTGGTAGAGTAGAATTTTTTTTTTCTTGATTGTTTTTTCGGAGAAAAATATTGGTCATGTCGAATCCGATTAAATCTAAATCCTTGCGAATTAAACTTCGAGATCCGGTTGAAGGGGGCGAGAAAACTTTTGGTACGGTGGATATTGGATGCGAGAAGCCTGTAGTATCGGGTGTGAAAATCGGATCTGCGGTAGAAGGTGCCCGAATTTTTGGGGAGATGCACATAGTAGATGGCTTGGATGCAGATGTCGGCTCAAGCCGCGCTTTTAGCCGCCCTAAAATGTGTGAGAGCGCGCGCTTCGAGGCTAGAGGGAAGCCGAGCCGAGCCATCGAGTTGGAGGCTGGCACGGCTGCTGAGAAGAGGAGAGAGAGAGATTCCAGCACACGTGGCCCAATGGGAGGAAGCCACGTGCGCACGTCGGGTACAGGAGCCGAGCCACGCGCGCGCGTCGGGCGCTGGGAATGAGAGACGCGCGCGCGTGGCAGTTAAAGTGCCGAAGTTGGGCGCGCTTCCCAAGCAACGCGCGCGCGCGTCGGATGTGCTGGGTGTGTGTGACGCGCGCGAATGGGCCAGTGGGGAGGGGGCACGTGTTCCGGTGTAGGCTGATGACGCGCGCGCACGTGAATCAACCCCTATTGGGGTCACGCGTGCGCATTAGAGCACCGTTTTCGGCCCGATTCGGGTGAAATCGATGGGCAAATTGCCGAGTGTGTTGATGCACTTGGTGTATTAAACGGGGGTAGTTTCGGACGGCGAGAAGCTATTGAATATTGGAGCGACGACGTAGGACCGAGTGCTAAAGTTGCGGATGATGTAGATGGGGTTGGTACTAGTAGTCGTTATTCTCGACGCCAAATCGTGGATTTTGGGAGTGATAGTGATGATTCTAATCAATCGCATTCGTCGAGTGAGCATGCGGTGCCGAGTAGTGAAGTTGATCCGATTGTGGAAGTGGAGGAGGAAGATGATATTCCGTTGGGTGATGTTGAAATTGATACGAGGAGGCAAAAGAAGATTAAGCCTATCAATTTGAACTTTCTCGATTTTGACAGTGTGCTGATGGAAGAGCATTTGCAGTCAATTCGTCGACTAGTTGGGGCGCCAAGAAATATTGAGTTGGTGTTGCCCGAGAAGGGCGACCGTTTGTATTCCCCTCCCGATGGGTTTCATACTGTTTTCTTGGCGTACGTGACGTGTACATCTCAAATTACTCCGCATCCGACTTGTTGAAGATTGGCGAGGAATTTAAGATAGGGTATAGTCAGCTAACCCCGACTGCGGTTCTGATGTTCAAGGCGTTTTACCATAGAGTGTCTCGAGTAGGTCTGCCTGCTACTGTGAGTTTGTTTAAGGCACTATTTACATTGCATCGGCCCACTAAGCTGCCGTTCTTTTGCGTTCATCCTCGTGTTCCATATCAATTTTTGAAGAGTGTGAAGTTGTCTTTGGGGAAATGGAAATCCCAGTTCTTTTATGTGAGAGCTCCCACTTTCGACGCCCCCCTAGTTTGGAAGCCTACGTGCGAGAGTTTCAAGATTACTGCGAATATGGCGAAGAGGATTGAAGAGTCTAGGCTGTGTGATGTGGAGTTTGATCCAAGGTGTTTGATACCGGATGGTCAGCACCATATATCCTTTTGTCGTGTGGACATTTTATTTTATTTTTATTTTATTTTTTTGTTTTTTTTTTTTTTTATTTTTTTATTTTTTATTTTTTTTTTTTTTTTTATCTCAGGTCTCTTATGTGGTTGTTTTCCTTTGTAGATGGGAGTATTACCTTTGCGGCACTTTGAGCTAAGGCGAATGGGACGTCGAAAATGGTAGCAAAGAAGGTTCCCTCTACGTTGGGAGTTTCTTCGGGTGGTTTGCCTCGTGAGACGGTCCATGTAGAGACTCCTCGAGTGATCGAAGACGACCGTAGTTGTGCTGGTGAAGTGGAGGAGCGTACATTTACGAGAGACCGTGGCATGGGAAAGACGGTAGATATTGAATATGTGGCTGTGCCAAAGCGTCCACGGGTAGACCTTGAGGAGACGTATGCTTTCCATGGTGGGGCAGGGAAACAGTTGTTTACCTTTGGCGTGAATCGTGAAGGGAAGGAGTCGTATTGGGATGTGTCGGACCGTGATTTGGCGATGTTGAGTACCGAGGGGTTCGTTCGGGAGTACGACCGTGCTCGGATGTCTGGTAAGGGCCCTTCTCACATGTTGGAGTTGGCTGGTGGGGATATATGCCGGGTAAGTACTTGTCTATTTTAAAACAACATTTTACGTTTACTTCCTCTCTTTCTCGTGTAAAATATTATTTTTATTTTTATTATCATTATTATTATTATTATTATTTTTTTTTTAGTTGGTAGCGACTTGGAGATATCTCATGGAGCAAGATGGGAACGTGGAAGCTAGGAAGGAAGAGGAGCGGACTCGAAGTCAGGCGCGTGAGGACGAACTTTGAAGCCAGTTGGAGATGGCGCGGTCCGATCATGCTCAACGGACGGAAGAGCTTGCTCAGAGGACAGAGGAGCTTGCTCAGAGGTCAGATGAGCTCTAGGTTATCCGAGGTGAGGGGATGGCGTATAAGGATGATGTTCAGAAGTTGAACGAGTGCTATGACCAGCTCAAAGAGAAGTACGAAGTTGAGAAGGCGACGGGGAAGAGGTTCCTCGCGACTTCAGGTGGTGCTGCTTATAAGGAGTCCCTCGTGGAGGAAACCAAGCTTGGCTTCCGAGGTAGTGCTGAGTGTGCTGCTATGATTGAGGAACATGCTTTGGCTGTGGTCTATAAGCCATTAGTACATGCCTGTCGCAAATACCTTCGCGAGGCGGGTGGTATCAGTGAGAGGGTCATTCGTGGGATGGAAGCTGGTATATCAGATGAAGAGGAGGATGAGGCAGATGTCAACGAGACGGGCACAGAGCTCGTTGATGACATGCTTGCTGATGACCCCGTTGTGGGGGCGTCTTCCGCCCGTGGTGGGGGAGTTTAGACTGATTTGCTGGGATAGAGAAACTCTTTTATTTATTATTTTCTATAGATTTCTTAGTTTGTTTTTATTGCTGATGTAGATGGGTATGGCCTCTACTATTTCGTTTGAATTTCTTCATTATTTCACATTTGAAGTTTGATATCTTGAATTATTTATTATGTCATTGTCAAGAATTTAATGCATTGCTTATGTGTATTTATATTTAGCATTGTACGCGATGTACTTGAGGAGGGGATCAGTCTCCCAAGGTTTTTGTTAAGGGTCGTGCCCATTGTTCGGACCGCGTGGGTCTTAAATATATTTGTCTGTGGCCACGTTTTAAAAGTAACACCTTGTGAAACAAATAAAGGGACCTAGATAATCCAGCTGACCAGGCTATATGGATTATCTAAACCTCTCTAAGTGTTTGTAGGGTTGTATTGAATTGAACTCATGGTAAGAGGTAATTTGTATAGATGTAACGGCACAGAGAGTAAAGCAAAAATTGTGATTTATTCAATGATAGCAAAGGAGAATTGTTACAAGCCTATGTGAGGCGAAGGGAAATAACTTTCGAATGTCATAGGCCTACGTGAGGCGAAGGGAAATAACTATTACAAAAGCAAATAAGTTGATTAAAAAAATTCTTCTAAATGATTTTACTAAACTTGTTTTTCTTCCACGTCTTCCTTGTACTCGTTTTCGCTGTGTTGATGGTAGATTGAATTCCTTTGGCGTCTCTATGCTTGAAAAGTATAGTTGAGAAAAACATTGTTTAAATACTTGTACTGAAGACTTAGTAATTGAAGCTGGGGTGATGTGTACTACAATTTACGTACCCTACTATGGGGATTGCTTTTCTTCCTCGCACTCCGAGATATGAAATCAACTCGTGAGTTGTTGTGATTTGCTGTGTGATCATGCCTGTTAGTGGAATTATTTTATCACGTTAGTAAGAGTATACAAGAGCATGCGTGTGATATATTTTAGTGGGAGTATTGTTACCCTTGGCGATGTGGTATGAAGTGTCTTCGCTCTTTGGGCCATTGATGAGTAATATGCATCCCCTCGTAATTGGTTCTCAATCTGTAAGAAGATGATGAGATGTGATTATGAATTGCTGATGTAAGTAAAATTACTAGCCCCCCAGTTTAGGTCGGATGTTTACGCACCTCGTCATGAAGTAGAGACTACCCTCGCATGTAGGGATAGTTTTGCAAGACGAGTAACGTGGAAGGTCGCGGAACCTGCAGGGGTAACGATTTGTAAGCAATTTTTGTATAAGATGGGTATGGGTGGTAACTTCAATGGATCTTAAGTAAGGTAGATGTATACCTTAAGCGTAGAACCGTCTGAGGTTCCCTATATTCCTAGTTCTGGGTATAGGGTGTCCGTCAGGGTTCTCGAGACGATATGCTCCAGTGTTGACCACTTTTGTGATTTTATATGATCCTTCCCACTTTGGATCGAGCTTACCAATGGGGTGCGAGACTTCAGCTTTTTGGAGGACTAAATCTCCAACTTGAAAGGATCGAGGGCGGACCTTTGAGTTATAGGCCTTGGCCATGCGTGATTTATACATCTGTTGCCGGATGCATGCGATCTCTCGTAGCTCATCTACGAGGTCCAGGCTTCCCCGCATAGCTTCTTCGTTAGCTGCTGGATCATAGTTGGTGATTCTCCAAGATGGTTCACTGATTTCAACGGGTGCGATAGCCTCTGTACCGAACGCCAGATTAAAGGGCGACTCTCCGGTTGCTGTTCGTGGGGTTGTGTGATAAGCCCATAGGGCGCTAGGAAATTCTTCCACCCACTTCCCTTTGGCACTTCCAAGCCTTGTTTTAAGGTGTTGGAGTATGGTGCGATTCGTGACCTCCGTCTAGCTGTTAGCTTGTGGATTAGCTACGGATGTGAAGAACTGTTTGATGTCCAAGCCGAGGCACCAATTCTTCACTTTGTCGCCGCAAAATTGGGTTCCATTATCTGAAATAATGGAACGTGGGATCCCAAAGCGACATATGATGCTCTTCCATAGGAATTGGATGACTTCTTCTTCTCGGATGCGTGCTAAGGGTTCAGCCTCCACCCATTTGGTGAAGTAATCCACTGCTACAATGAGGAATTTGCGCCCTCCCGTGGCGGGCAGGAATGGTCCAACTAGATCCATTCCCCATTGGGCGAAAGGGATGGGGCTGTCAATCGGTTGCATTAATGCCGCTGGCAGGTGAGGGACATTGGCATGCTCTTGGCAAGGCTTACACCTCCGAACTAATTTCTTGCGTCTTTATGCATTGTTGGCCAGTAGTAACCTTGCCTCAGTAGTTTGAGAGCTAAGGTTCTCCCGCTCAAGTGATTTCCGCAGATACATTCATGTACTTCTCGAAGTACGTAATTTGCTGTGGTTGGGTCGAGGCACTTGAGATAGGGGAATGAGAATCCTCGTTTGAACAATTCTTCTCCCACTATAACGAAGCGAGCGGCTCTTGTTTTCAACTTCCGTGCTTCAGTGAGATCAGTTGGGAGTTGATACGAACCACGCCAACATCGTGACGAGACCCGATATCAATACTTCGGATTTCAAATCCCGGACCGTCCAAATGAAGGAATCAAAAGGTGGAACCGCGACCCATTGCCTATAAAGAGGCAAGAACCTTGGTATGTGAAGACGCCACAATCGACTGCGGAAGATCGATTGATAAGTCGAGGTGAACAAACGGAATCCACCGTAATGTTCGAACGGTTCATAAAGAACCAAACGAGAATACTCTCAATTAAACCATTAAATTTCGTCCATTAAAAATCAGCCAAATTGGCTACATATTTATAAGATCTAAAAAGACTCCTTTTTCACAAGGAAAAGGACTCCTTTTTCACAAGGAAAAGGACTCTTACCTAATCTATAATAAGGAAACTAATAAATAAGAAAATCCTAGCCATAACTAACTCTAAAATAATATAAATATTATAAACCTAATATAAAAACGTAATATAATAAAATCTAAACTCGAAATATCAAGTAGACGACACGAACATTCTTCATAACTCGAGTAGACATTTGGCTGTGCACGTGTCTTCACTTCAAGCTCGATTTCTGACCTCCTCCACACCGAATCTTTCTCGGATCAAAACAGCAAAGTTTTAGATTTTTAAGTTGGCTTTCCGTAGCAATTCGAATCATCTTAATTGGACTTCAGATGAGAACGTAAAAGCCAAATAGTGTACTCTGCCAGAATTATACGGGACTTTTCGGGATGCATGAAATTCGACTTGTCCAACGAATTTTCCTCTTCCTTGTCTTCCAATTCTTCGTGTTGGATGTATTTAGGATCATATCATTGAATTCATATTTGGAGTTTAGATTTTATTAAATTACGTTTTTATTTTAGGACTTATTATTTTATATTATTGTACAGTTAGTTATGGCTAGGATTTTCTTATTTATTAGTTTCCTTATTATAGATTAGGTAAGAGTCATTTTCCTTGTGAAAAATGAGTCTTTTTTTAATCTTATAAATATTTAGCCAATTTGGCTGATTTTAATGGACGATTTTTGATGATTTAATTGAGAATATTCTCGTTTGGTTCTTTATGAACCGTTCGAACATTACGGTGGATTTCGTTTGTTCACCTCGACTTATCAATCGATCTTCCGCAGTCGATTGTGGCGTCTTCACATACCAAGGCTCTTGCCTCTTTATAGGCAATGGGTCGCGGTTCCACCTTTTGATTCTTTCTTTTGGACGGTCCGGGATTTGAAATCCGAAGTATTGATATCGGGTCTCGTCACGATGTTGGCGTGGTTCGTATCAGGAGTTCTCCTTTCTTGAGATACTTTATGATTGGAGTGAACTAGCATGGTTCATCCTCCTCGTTGTACTGTCCTTCACTGGTTGAAGTTATCTCCGGCTGAGGTGAAGTGAAGAGCGTCACCTTACGACTTCCGATGCTTTCCATGGAGCTTCCAAGCCTAGCTAATTTGTCATCATTGATGTTACTGGAGCGAGGTACTTGTCTTATCTCGTAGCTCTCGAATTTGGATAACAGAGTGTGCGTGAGAGCCAAATATTTGGCCATGGAGTCTTCTTTGGTCTCGTAAATTCCAAGTACCTGGTTAACGACGAGCTGAGAGTCGCTTTGGATAAGGAGCTTACGCGCTTCGGCTGCTAAGGCGAGACGGAGTCCTGCTATCAGTGCTTCATACTCAGCGACATTGTTTGAAGCTGTGAATTCGAATCGTTGAGCATATTCGAATTCATCTCCGTCAGGGTTCGTTAGTACGATACCCGCGCCACCTCCTATGGTTGTGGAAGATCCATCAACGTTGACGGACCAAGTGGGGAGAGAGGTGCTCTCTTCTACTGAGGTCATTTCTACTAAAAAGTCGGCCAAGACTTGTGCCTTGATGGCGGGGCGGGGTCTGAATTCTACCCCGTACTCACTCAGCTCTATCACTCATTTGGCTAGTCGCCCAGATGTCTCGGGACACCTTAATATCTGCTTCAGGGGGTAATTGGTGAGAACCACCACTTGATGTGATTGGAAGTCAGGTCGGAGTTTTCGAG